TAATTATTAGAATTGGAGATTGAATTGGTCGAATTAGATTAATCGGAGCAAGAGTTTGTCATCAGTTAGGAAATTATTGTTTTTAATTATATTATTTATAATTAAAAGATTAAAAATTGATTAAAAATTAAAAATTAATAAAAAATTAATAAATATTAAAAATTGATAAAAGACTAATTTGTTTCCGATATTTTCGATGAAGAGGAGACATTTTTCACGAAAGGATGTACATCAAACGCGTTTTTATTGCCAAACATAATCGCTTAAGATATTCATTGCGAATTCAGCTCGTCTCTTGTAAAGTCTCTTATAAAGTAGGTAGGATAGATAAGAAAATGCGATCGTGATACTACAGAATCTATGTGAATCTACGCGCTAGAGGAACCGACAGCTTCATATTCGACCGTCCGTAAACAATTTACGCATGCGAGGGCCGCGTTTAAATGCGGATAATACGCTGAATCACGAACAAAGGGCGCTCATAATTCGAATATTAACAGGGCCTCTGGCACGATTCAATTTATCGCTAGGTGTATTATCCGAAATAGGATATTCCGCTGATTTCGTCGATCTTTGCGAGTTGGTCCCTGTTCGTTCTGCTGATTCTCGTCCTCGATGAATTCTCGTCCTTCTATTTCACGAAGCCGACACCGGACATCGGCCGCGGGTGCGCAAACAAGTCGCATATACGTCGAGAGTCACACGTACATGATGCGCGAATGCACGTGTGTATGTGTGTCGGTGAATCTACACCTTCGCCACGAGCTAGGCGAAGTATCAACAGGTGCTGTCAGTCGTTGTTTCGCTTAATCGGTTTCTATTCTCGAGACTTCTAAGCTCCGTTTGGCAATTCGTGACACCCCCTCCCCGGGGGGATCTTGGACGTTACCCGTTCTATGCCAGTTTAGTAGTCCGATCGTGCAGCTTGTTAAAACTACAAATCGCGCGTTTATCCGATAACAAGGAAAGGTAGTCTCCCGGATCGCACGCGGGATTCCGGTTCAACGATATAATTCAATGCTCGACAATTATTTTCCACGATTCACGTTTTAGACATTTAGATGGAGAATTCATTTTGCAACGATTTTTATTTTTTGCTGGAAAAATCAAGATTTATATTTCGCTCTCTTCCTTTCGAAATAAAATCCCAACGATTTCGCTTGTAATATAGAGATTGCGAGTGCTATTTTTAGATTTTTTTTTTTATAGCGTCAATTTGAACCATTTTTTCCCGCACCAGGCCATATCGCCCCGGGCCAATTTTATACCACTTGATTCACGTGTAATTGAAGACACGTCCCCTCCACTCGAAAGTAATAAAACGCGTCGTAAGCACGGTCGGCGATGAGAAGTTTGGCATTCGTTCCGCTCGCCCACGCCAAGCCCATTCCGAGATTGAATCCCGCAAAACTGACTGTACAGTCACACTGTTATAATTAATTTATAATACCTCTAATTGCGCGGGCCATGTCGGATGCGGCCGTCCCGGCATTTAATTTGCTCGCTAATTAAACAGGCTGCGCCCCGTTGGAACGCAACGTGCGATCATTTCGCGACGCTCGTATCGCTACGCTCTACATAGAGTCACTCTTCCGAAAAGCCTCGGTGCAACGCAACGCGAAATGCAATCGCTCGATTACGCTCGCGCTTCATTCCACGGTCGCAAGGACGCGATTTACAATATAATGCGAGATGCGAAGCGGTAATTACCTATACAGCACAGACCATTGTTGTTATATTGCAGAAATATTGCAGCAACATCGCAGTATTACCGCAATATTACTGCGATGTAACAATGTATATAATGCAACAACCCATACAGCACCGAATATTGCAGCAATATTATTAATATATTGTCGTAACATTGCAATAATACATTGCATAATTACATTATTGCTGCAATTTTCTGTGCTATATGGAAATATCTCGGATAATTTTTTTCTTTCTATCCATGCAGCAACATTGTTGCTACATTGCAGAAATATTGCAGCAACATTGCAATGTTGCAACAATATATATAATGCAACAACCATACAGCACAGAATATTGCAGCAATATTATTAATATTGTTGTAACATTGCAATAACATTACAATATTGCCGCAATATTGCTGCAATTTTCTGTGCTGTATGGGAATATCTCGGACAATTTTTTTTCTTTCTACCCATATAGCAACATTGTTGTTACATTGCAGAAATATTGCAGCAATATTGCCGCAATGTGACAACAATGTTGCAGGTAGAAGAGAAAAAAATTGCCCGAGATATTATTGCATTATATATTTATTGCGTTACATTACAATATCGTCAGAGTTTCTCATTTAGAAAGAACCTCCCTGTGAGGGAGCCTCTCATGAATATTTCTCATTTCCACGCGGCGAGAGGACGTAGAGGCGTTTCTATCTTACATCGCTGCAGATATGCCATGCTATTGCAGCTTGCCGCTGTCACGTTTTCTCACACCTGCAGTCCATTACATCTTCCGATGATTCGTGAGGCATTCGTAGTTCCGATTCGTGCTTTTCACCACTACGTGTCCAGCATAGCTCTGCGCGACGAGAGACGTAATATGTTAGTAAAATTGCAGTCGCTTGGGCGTTACGTCGGGCATGAAAATGGCAGGCACCCCCGCCCCCCTCTCCCCCAACGGGATGGGATGCAGAGAGCTATTCGCGCAATACGTATATAATAATAAATGATATTTAAAATGTATTATCCGTATTAACACGTACGCGATATATAAGCAGGGTATCGTTCGCCGGACCGATCTCGCAATTTGCCACCAGTACCCAAGTATAATCATTTCATATGACGCGTAATCATTTTACGAGCGCTATTAGCACATTATGCAATTATTACGAAAGTCCGAGCCGGCCGCGTGCAACGTCCGGGATGATTATCGACAGACAGATAACGATATGTTGATGGCTCCTATTCCGGCAGTGGCCGATAATATAGTAACGTGTACAGAGGGACGAGAGGGGGACGGAAGTCCCGGTTATGTATTTTAGATAGACACAATTGGCATGTAAAATGGTAGCCCCCGTGCTGCACGTTATAATTGTATTGCACTTTCAAAATCAAGTTGAACTTCATCGCGAGTATACTCGACGCTCGACATTGTGTACCGAGTTGTGTACGCTTGCGGCCTATTTTATTAACATTTGCGATCGATTTTATCGGATCGGCCTCCGAATAATCGATTAATGCAGATATTAAATTCCTTTACGTGCATCTCTGTATTATGGGTCTAAATTTCACTTTTCGGCATCGATTCGGTTTTATTTTTCCTTTTCATCGTAAATACATCTTTATTATTTTAATTTTTATCATTTTAGATATTTTATTGAGTCCGATACTATCAAAAATACATCGCAAGATACATAATTATGCATGACGCGAAAATAAAAAGTATATTGCATTGTAAATATGTAAAAAAGGTGAGACAAAGGAGCGGAAGGAACGAATCACAGTACGTGAAAATTCATGTCGAATAAGAAAGGATCTATAACACGTTCGCAGCTCGTTTGGTCGGAGAATCGATAGTAAATCGGTGAAGCGTGACGTGTCGCGGAAAAATGATGAAGTATTTAATATAAAGTTAATGTAGCTTGTGAGAACGGAAGACTTGATCGATGCTAGTCATCAATCAGATCTATATCTTGGGCAAATGTGCAGTCATTGATCTCACTACGTTTTATAAGTTTTGGAGATGCAATACGCGAGCGTAAAAAAAAACACTCTGCGCTTGCAATAAAATTATAGAAACAATTGCACGATATTGAAATATCAATAAAATTTCTACGAAAAAATGTAGGAAAAATGTTATGCCAATTGTCACGAATACATGTCAAATTCCAATAAATTTTATCATATTTTGTCGCTGCGAAATTGTAGTCGCTTTTAGAATGGAAGGAAATATTTAGAAAAAGAGAGAGAGAGAGAGAGAGAGAGAGAGAGAAAGAGAAAGAGAATTTTGAAAATATCAAAAGAGAACCGTAGCAGGGCTGCCGTATAATTTTTAGGGTATGCTGAATTTTGTATCCCGATACATTCATTTGTTCGGCGATGCTGGAATCTGCCATCGATGTGGCGGAATGAAGGATACCTGACATCACCGTTATTGCATAATTATGCAAATTACAAACTCCAGCGATCGACAATCATACGGATGTTTCGATTGGCATAAAAGTATTCGATATATTTGAATATCGAGAACGAAAATATGAAACGGGTTAAATCAAATTTATTCTCTTTCGTGTGTTGCAACATTACCTGTCATATACCGAGTCTGTGGCATGCCGCGCAGTTTGCAGCGCTCGGAATCAAAATGCGTCATATTCATACAGCGATAGGCTATCGAGTGTCAGCATACTTGGTCGGCATTTAATTTCGGTTTCAAAGCTCTCGCGCTCTGATATTGCTCTTTTCGATTTTTCACAAATGGCTAAACCTTGTTTTAATGTTTTACACGTGCAAATCAAAAATTGACAGTCGCGATCTCCGCTTGCATTTCATTTGTGTAGACTCAATACTTTAATTAATAACAGAAAAAATAAAAATTTATGAACAAAGTTTGCCGTCCAGATGACAAATATAATCTTTTTTGGGAAATTTAATATTTCCCATCCGATTTATCATCAATTATTTCAAAAAAACGATGACTCGATTATCACGTATTTTTTTTTATCGATGCGTATTTTTTAGCCGATGGATTAATGCGATTGCCGTGACGATGTGGGACGCCGTTGTGGGAGATGATCGCGCGAAAGCCGCGTGTACATCCGCACAAACACATACTTTTGTGCCGCGTTTTACGGAGTCGTGAAAGGCACAAGTCTCTCGCGCGTGGAGAACGAGGGGGAAGCTCGACTACGGGTTGTACGGGTTGGTGTCGGTGCCGCAAAGCGGGGGCCAACTTGGGGGTTGCAAGGGGGGTAGATGCGTCGGCGTGTTGCGCCGTAGCTTTTGCCGCGGCGCCTGGCAGTCCATTGGCGAAGCCCTAACGAGCAGCGGGCGAGAGCGGAGCATTCCTACGGAAAGATTCATAAGAACTCGAGCGGGCGAAAGTGGACGTGCTTTTTTTTTTCCTCTCCCGAGTCGGTCCATTTTTTTCGACGCACGCTGCTCCAGTTTCCCGGCGACGGTACGTCGGTGCATCCCGAAATATTTCACGTCGCGTCGTGATAAATAAGCGTCGCGTACGCGCAAACACGTAAACACGGGGGATGCTTTTTCGTCGTGCGGTCTCTTGAGGCGCTGTGAAGTGATTCGCGCGATTCGCATGTCATTCGGAGTCGGACGGAAAATTTGAAAAACGGATGTTTTTCGACGGATCCTCGATGAGCGAGCATCGTGAAATTTTAGTGCTTCGGACCTCGAATCTGTCGACGACATGTGATCGTACGCGAGAGAAAGGAAGATAAATCGCGCGTGATTTGCACGCCCGATTTCAAACTAATCGCTTTTCGCATCGGTTGCTCGTGGAGTGATCGTCAAAATTGGGATAAGCTTTATTGAATTGTTAATAGACCGAATGTGTGCTGCTCTTCCATTTCTTCGTTCATTACGCAAACGTAATCATTGTTTTGTTATATATGTTTCAAGAATAATGATAAGTAGGCACTAAAAAGTTTGCGACAATTTTTTTTCTCAAGGACGATCTCACAAATTTCGTCTTTATGCCATATCAATAAATTATTTTATTCGCATTTTTTTAATTTACAATAATATTTATAAATTTTATATCATCTGTAAAGTTTGACGGCATCGGATTCATCATGCTAGAATGAGCGAAATAATGAACGATGCGTCGTGTAAATAAATTTATCAATATAAATATTCATCAATATATCCGCGAGAATAAATGTGAATAAAAGATGATTAGGCGTCACGATTGAAATGTCTGTAGTGGCGAATGTACGTGAGCTCTCTTTTCGACGTATGACATAATCTTACCGCACAGCTAACCCGCGTCACGTTGTTAGTCTCGGATTAAAAACTGTACACCGGTCATCGCAAAAGTAGGACACGTCCGGTCCCGCCCTTCGTGGCATTATCTGGTTCGGTCGAGGAGCAAAGGGAGGAGAGATGGATAGAAAAAAAGAGAAAAAAAAAAAAACGAAAAACGCACATGAAATTACGCGGGGAGAGATCATATGAGTTCCGTGACATGACTCCTCGCACCATCGATTGTGCAATGGGATTGACATTACGAATGCAGAAATTTTCTGCGCTAGACGGCGATAGATTTTTTATGACTTTCATCGAGAGCTATGGTTTTTTTTTTTTTTCTGACGAGCGGAACAGAAGAGCCAAACGTGGTTGGTTGTTATTTAAATCTCATTCAATTATCATTATCGGGAACAACTTTATGTGTTTATCGGAAATCAGAATTTATAAATTAACGGACGATTCGACGAGTGGTACGTATTTTGTTTACGTTTTTGCAGCGTTTTAATGCAACTTAATTTGCTTACATTAATTCAAGTCAAATTCGATAACAGTTTGCAAAACGTTCGATGATGTAAACATCGTCAGTGGAGCAGCTTTCGGTATGTTTAATGTATTCCGTGCCGCTTAGAACATGAACGAGGGCTTCCACTCACGTAATTGATAGACGGAAACAGAAATTTCCCTTTTATTTATATCTTTCTCTCCCTGCCTTTTATTTATATTTATACTTTGATCGTTATTTCTTTATAAATATTTGAAATGACGTGCGCATAGAATAGGGTCTCTTCTCTTAGCTCCGAATAATATTTGTACGTAAAACATGAAACACACGAGCAGAATGTTCCCATTTTATACAATAATTTCTAGGTAATAATAACGCAATACATCTGTTGAAAAATTCAGCAGATTAATTCGCGCGTCAGGAAATTTCAGCATCGTTCCGAACGACTGATTCTCTCGTGAAATTGTAAATCGCGTGGTGCGCCGGAATTGTTTCGACACATTGAACCGTGATTTCGCGCGATTATTCTCGGTCGTGGACGATATCCCAGCTCGCAGATGTACCGTAGTGTCTGACAGGATACCGCCTCCTGATCGACCGTGGATGTCCGCTATCATTTGGAGCGATATTTCGCGCGATGCTACGGGACAGATTCTGTTTCGCAGCGATGACGACGAACGAGCCATAAGTACGATGGCGGAGGAAGTAAATAATTATATGATTTAGCCGTTTAAGCGACAACGAAGGGTGGGAAGAGCAGTCGCGTTAATATAGTCTCCTAAGCGTGATTCTTCTCTCCACAGCGGAAAGTGTCAATAAGGGAGAAAGTTGTGATTTTTGACAGAGCCAGTTTCACAGTGAAGTCGCATGAAGACGAATGAGCCTATGAATAATACGACAAAAGGGAGGAAGAAATAAGGCGGAGGGTGGTGGAGGACGTAAAAAAGTGGAAAATTGGAGGGCGCAGCGCGAGGGGACGTCTAATTTCGTTGTCACAGAAAAGAGTAAGTGTATCGATAACTATTGATCGATAATTATCATTCGCTCGTACGTGCCCGCTTTATTAGCACATTTGCGTTCCCTCCACGCGAATCGATAGCGCTGTGATTTACATATTTTCCGATAACGCCGTATACTTCAACATGGTGCGTTAGAGCTGTAATCGCATGTAATTATCCCGCATGCGTATAACAAGCTCGGTGGACTGTTACCTGATTCAGAATTTCAATGCTTTTAATTTACTCGCGATTTAAGGTAGCATTTCGACACGTTAATTTTGCCGCGAGCGATTATTCGCCGGTAGATATATAGATTCGATGAGAACCACGCATACATTTCGTGCTAATTAAATCCGTAGGCGTGAATATTTTATTACGCCGCCTTACGTATATACCTGCTCGCGAATGTAAATACACTGTGCATATATGATGACACTTGATTAAAAAATTATATTAACATTCCAATTATATATTGTTATATTTGATTTTATTCGGAATAAATTATGTGCGATAAAGATTGAATGACGGACTCTCTGCGAACATGCATTTCGTAAAAATTATAACTCGACAGCGACATTTACTCGTATTACCATTAACAGTGGAATATTCGCCAATTGGAATAAATGCAACACGTAACGACTCGCGTACTCGCGATTTTACAATATGGCATCTGGGAGAGGAATATAGTTTGCACACTCGCGGTTTTATCGCTCATCCCGATTTTCATTACATCTCTCTCGCTCGTGAAAATATTTTACTGCGGAAACGTAAGACGCGATATCCCGTATAATATCCCGTGATTTGCATTTTCACGCTTGCGGCCGTCTCCATATTATAGAGGAGAAACACTTTTCTATCTGCATTAATAAACGAGATTTGTGGGAGCCATTCGTTTCGGCGGGAGCGGAGCGTATAATAACCGACTGCACACAGTATCGCGATTTCGGATTGAATTTATTCATTGCGTGTAACCGTTGTGCAATTGTTTATTTATGTACTTAGACGCATCGGTGGATAATCGGTTGACGGGGGATATTGTTAAATTAAATGATAAATTTTACGCGATCAATTATTCCGCGGCTTCCCGCGAACATTAACGCTAACGTAACTGTATTTTCGGATGATTAGATCGGAATTATTATTATACGTGGCTTATTCTTGCGCGCGCGCGCGGAAAGGGAGAACGAGCTGTCGGATAAATGGCTGTATCGCAATGTCGTTACGTATTGTACATACGTGACGGGCGTCGAACGCCACACTACACCACCACGTAAGGTGAAAACGGGTCAAGAGGATCCCCGTCATAAGAAAGTTAATTCCGCATATGTCGCAGCTTGCCGAGAGTGTCGGCAAGAACGGGCCACTTTTAAATGATAAATTACTTCTAATGACGTCAGTTTGCTGGCTGGCGCGAACTTTGATGGGTTTTTATCCGTCGTGCGGCATCCACCCCCTCAGGTGGGGAGAGGGGAGGGAGGAGGGCGGGAGGAAGGGAGTCTCGCGTCTTACGCGCGCCCTTAATCCCGACAAGCTTAATCTTTGCGACGCTCAATTTTTGCCGCCTCCAATCTTTGATACGACTGGACTTAAGATGGAGAAATTCATTTAAGGATTACGCGCACGCGGTTAACAATTCCCTGCAATAGAATGTTACGTTTCGCAGCAAAACGTGGCTTCCAGATGTGACTTTAATTTAAAGGTCTTTCCGCTGATATTAACGGTTTTCTCAGGAATGAATTGTCATTCGTGTTTCCTCCGCGAATGAATCCCGTCGTGACGCGTACACTACAGGATTCCCTTAAGCTGATTTACATCCAGGTAGCTTAATTGGAGAAGCGGGAGAGCCGTTACTAGTCCCTATGATTCCATACTAAATTTCAATCAGAGTCGCGATGGCAGTTCTCGCAGTCGCTCACGATTTAACTTTAATTACCGTCTTAGTTTTGATAACGGAAGAAATTGTTCCATAGAGTGAATTTTCCATTTTCCGACACTCCGCAAACGACGCCCTTGCGTTAACCTATCGATATGTATCGCTGATATTTTGCTAAACACGATATACGTATCACGGTATGGCTTGCGGCGATATCGTACTTTAACGTTTCAGGCGATTATAGTAATTGTATCGCGACATTATCGGTAAAAGTGTCTACGGCAGGAAATTACAATTCTCGAAATGACAAATAGCAACAAAATTAATTGCCTCTCTGGATAAAATTTGATTTAATTCATTTAAGACAATCGATTAATTACGACTATTGACGTAGAGTAAAAATCTTGCGAACATAAAAGATTTGTGATAGCGATAAGGAAATAATTGCAGCGAGATATTAACGCACTGAAGAAATATATAAATTATTTTTTTTTAAAGCACGCCACATGTATATTCTGGCATAGCCTCGTTCCATTCCGTGAAAGTTCGAGAGAAATAGTAAGTAGGGCGAGAAATAAGTGGTATTAGACAACTAATTAAATATTTTATAGCGGAGCAGTAACAACTTTACCAGTAAATCTTGCGGGGAGAGAAATCTCATGGTTTGTGAGGAAGAGCTTGTGTTACAGGGCTGTACAATATAAATTGTAAAGTGCACCGAGCTATCTCTCGACACTCGGCGCCAGAAGATTACCAAATACTCGAGAGAAGTCTTCATCTGTATCTGAATCTTTTGATATCTGTTATTATCGTCGATTTAATCGTACAATTTTGATTTTCCTTTAATCTGCCTCTCTCTTTCCTCCATCTGCTTTGTCTCTCCCTCTCCCACCTGGAACACTTGGGATAAGCGCGGATGCTTTTATAAACGAGGATTTAATATTACAATTTGTCGGAATTATACAGGGTATTTCTTAATAAGTGCGAAAAATTTTAGGAGATGGTTCTTTGTCGAAAGTTAAGGGAGGTTTTTTATATAAACATATATTCCTTCATTCCTTCCTGTGGAGTTACACTCCTCCAAAGAAGGAGATAAAAATTAGATTTTTATTTTTTTCTCAAAATTGAAACAAGTTAAGGAAATTAGATGGATATTTTCTACTAGTAAAAAGATTACTTATTAATATTTTTTTCAGCTTCCCGTACTCTTATAAGAGGATGAAACCCCTATTCAATTTTTCTAGCAACCCCTATTCAATTTTTTATTAAAACTTTTTAATGTGTATATGAAAAATCGCCCTTAATTTTCGACGAAGAATCATCTTCTAAAATTTTTCGCATTTATTAAGAAGCACCCGGTATATTTAAACAACAACTTTCCCGATATTTATAGCTCCAGAGATCTTTGCAATGAATATTTCGCAAAAATCCTACCTCTCGCGCTAAGAGGGGCTTATTATCTCAGCACCGTCGATTTATTCACCGGGAAATATGTACATGATCTTCGTCTGGTTATCTCTCCTCCCGTGTGGCCGAAGCTGAATGTAAGCCGCATTGCTGGCGACAGCTTGATCGCTCCTTAAATTACTTTCCACGCCCGCGAGCATTGCTCGTGGCGGCGAAACGTTTATACTTGTCTTCCCAGCCGTCCCTACGGCATCTTAGAAGACGCAATCGCGCATTCGTTTAACTCGCTTGGCGTGTTTACTGCATCGCAAGATTATATTTTGCTTTATAACGGTGTAACTGCAACGAATGTTTAATGGAGTGGCACAATAGGGGAGATGCACGCGCCTATGCGTCTGTCTTTCGTTCCAAGGGGAGAAAGAGCCCACCTCCTTCCCCGTCTCTTCATCATCCTTCTCCGCTTCCGTTGTTTCCCTTATACTCCATATATCCCGTATTCTACATCGCGCCACGTTGCACAAGCGCTAAACGAATTCTCTCTCGCTGCAGTAACGTCTCCTTACTCTCGATACGCTCGTAAGTTGCCACGAAATGTCGTCTTGGGGCGAAAGTTCGCAGTCGCTGTAATTGAGCCATATCGCGTGCAGTTATCGACCACGGATCCAGGATTGCTACGTTATACCTTTGAGAGTGATTTCTGGATGTCGGGCGCGAATGTCGTTGCTATTTGCGGTATTCGCATGTGTAGTTCACTTACGTTCCGTGGATATTCGAAATACAGAGCTAGGAAATGATACCGCAATGACGCGGAATAATGAGGCGTAACAAGCGACGCGTATCATTGAGAACGTTTTCCGTGGAGTGGATGATATGCGTATTGTCAACATAATTTGATAGAAATGTGCTTTTACGTCGATAAAAGGGTCATCCACTTTCGAGGATCATTCCTCACAATCATTTTCATTTCGTTTTTTTGTCGATTTTGATTTGCTTTTGATGACAGTTGCCATGGCATGGTTTTTTGCTCCAATATTCGAATTCGGAGTCGATTGCGTTCCATCGCTTGGGACGTAGTTCTAACGCGAAATCCTGTTATCATTCCTGAAGTAGCTGTACACGCGCAGTTCATCAGCTGCATCGTCCCGATAATTCTTGTTCTATTGCTTGGTTCTCTTCAATAGCATCCCGAGTTTTCGTGAAACTCTGCGTTTCTCGATAGAAATCAGTTGCAGCGATCGATATATTGACTATGGCAGCCGTTCCGAATAGCTTATTCCCATCGTACCGATTCGATTATGTTCATTCTCGAAGGGATCGTAAGACGAGCCCTTCGACGTTCTTTCGAATAGTCGTTCTAAAAAGATCAGAAAGTATTTTAGAATGCGTCGCAATCAACTCCTGATTTCTAGTAGTTTAATGTTATTAGGTCTAGAGCTGTCGATGCTTGAAGGAAAGTATACATAATGAAAAAGAATTCTTTTTTTCATTGCATCTTGATGTCAATGTGTTTCACGTTGAATGAACTCTTGCGATCGAATTATTTTGCAATATATCAGATGAGAATTGCATTAATATAAAACTTTATTCAAACATAACGTTTTACATTTGCATATATAATATAAAACTTTATTCGAAAAGATATAATATGTTTTATTTCGCAGACAAATAATTCATTTTCAATTATTATTATATAGTATTATTTTAATATTCAAATTGATAATTTAAA